ATGCAATATAACTCAAAAAGTTTTGATCTGAGAAGTCTGATATTTTGCCAGGCGTCTTTGGGGTCTATGATTACCCCTAGGACCGATTTTCATTAAAATCTGAGAGATGAGGGTGACGGGCCTGGTACGATCTATCGTGGAATGCCCCCGGGGCCAGAGTGTTCTATTATTCATGGTGTTCGGGGGTGTGGTGGAAAGAGTCATCAATCAGTTTTTCCTGTCGCAGCCGTCATTCTCCAACGCTGTCGAAGGCCTCTCTTGTGCTTCATTTACTTCCCAAGTGAAAAATTGAAGAATTGTTATTTGGAAGATTCTTCATTGTAATTATAAGTTATAGCACGCTGGCGACGTTTTGTTGAAGCCTATTGCCTTTTGGAACCGGTTACTGGCCGACAACCCAGATAATATTTTATGCCACCGCCGCCAAACACCGTAAATACCTATACTTAGATGCAGCTCCTCCAAAATAAAACACCAGTGACATCAATCATCACTCGTGAAAGATTACATAGTACCTATTCGAACTGCTTCCTCCCTCATGCGTTTCATTGGCTGAGGGCCTGTCTGACTGAGCCAAGTCCGGCTCGTCCGTAACTAACAAGTGGTTTCCCGTTTATCACAAGTCACTTGAAACTTCTCCAGAGTGAGTGTATTTGGTGCTTATTCGACCCATTTCTCCCTGATTCTTCGCTCACTACCGGGCCCTCATTATCTCACGGCATCGACGTGCTGAAGGACGGACACTTGTGTCACATGTTTGGTAACCTCGCTTGCCGCCTGTTTTCAAATGTCGGTGGCTGTCGCTGAGCCAGGACGGTCGGCCGGGACACTTGATTCGCGTGGTCACTGGTCGCTCACTGTCTCTCCCTCCATGTTCCTTGTCTGCGGCCACTGGAGTCGGCGAGACTGGCACATTCATTCATTCATTCATTCATTCATTCATTCATTCATTCATTCATTCATTCATTCATTCATTCATTCATTCATTCATTCATTCATTCATTCATTCATTCATTCATTCATTGATATATTGATTGATTGATTCATTCATTTATTTGCTATTTCATTGATTCATTCATTCACTCATTCATTCATTTGTTCATTCCTTCATTCAGTTATTTCGTGCTATTTCCAAAAGATGACTTTTTCAATCGATCAAGGGTCAAGATTCGATACAAAACAATAAAGGCACTATACCTAATAAAGTACGACGTAAAATGAAGAGTAATTAAAACATAATATCGTTAAAGTAATTAGAAAAGTCCAGATGGTACAAACAACGCTGAAATCAATTTCAATGACGAGTGGGTCATAGTTTCACGAACCCGACAAAGAGTACGGCACTCGCGAGCCTCGCGCTGCATCAAACCCGCAACTCGGCAGGCCTGACTAAACTGAAGCGGAAATTAATCCTCTCAACATGTTACGTAAGACTCGAGTAGCGTTCTCCATTATTTACACTTCTGTGGTGCTTGGAGGGATGCTGTCAGCCCCAGGCAGATTATGTCGCAGCGTTACCAGACCACGTCCCGCCGGCCAGCGAAGGCTGTCCGTGATCTGTGGATGTTGGTAATGACTGTTCTGGTTATGTGACGCACTACAGGCTGACACATGCCCTGCCCGGAGCTGGCACATAACTCGCTCCCTGCCAGCGAGGGAGAGGGCGACTTTACGACTCTAACGGCTAACAACGTGGTAAACGGAATAATTGTTCCTTCCTATCAACTGGTTGTTTCCACTTGATTTTGGTGGTATGATAGCGTGACTTTGTTTATCGTCTTTCTCTGTCCCTTTTTATCAGAAATCAGATGCATATGGCGGTGGCTGTGTGGGCGGTGCCCGTTTGTGTCTGTGTCTGCGTCTGGCTGCGAAAGTCTGTTCTGTTTCACGGGACAAGTGTTATCTGCTGAGTCAGCCCAGATGTCATATCGTGACCAAACTCGCAGTGAATAATTCTAACTACATAGACTAAAGAGACGCCATTCAGGGGTGCCCGAATGGCCGCTGGTCAAAGGTCATGTCTGCTGAAACTGCGGGATCGATATCCAATTATGGCTGATTATCTTGCATGCATATAATTACTGTGTGTATTTGTTGTAACTGAGTACATCCTTGAGTGAATGTAATATGGTCTGTGAATGTGTAATTCAATGGTTTATTTATTGGCGTTGGCTCATCAATAATGTCGCGATTGTCTGGACTACAAGATAAAATTATATAACACTGAACGTATACTCTGTATACAGAGGTCTATGCACTGAATTATTTCAATCGTGCACCATCATATATGGTGTTGTTACAGTTACATATTGTGTTTAATGTCGATACATTATCCAATGTCCATTTAATACAAAACATTTTTTTACCGTATTCCTTTTGCTATCTCAATTGCATCCATCAACTTACACGCACGATAGTTCTATTTTTAGTAAGCTAAGTGTTTTCGCTCAGTTTCACACACTGAGTGACACCGTAACATAGCCACACTATCATCACGGCCCGATAGATAGCAGCAAGCTGTGGGCAAATATTGATAGGCCTATACGGCCGGTGGTAGGACAGCGGCACTCGGGAAGGTGCGAACGGCTCTCGGCAACGCTGGACGTCGAGAAAACAAACTGGCTTTTAACTGTACGGTACGCTTGTGTCATGGTAACGGTTATCTTAGCAACGGCAGTGGCGGTCGCAGGGGGGGGGGCCATCAGGGCCATGGCCCCCCCCCAAAGGCAAATCAGGGGGGGCCATCATATCATTTGGCCCCCCCCAAACAACCGATGGGCCCCCATGGGCGTATGGGGCCCTGGCCCGTATTCGATAGTCACGAGGCTCGAGAAACCCACGCCAGCTATTAACAGCTCCCATACCGGTCTTTGAGGGTCCTACACTCACCTCTGAGGGCCCTTCAGTGGCGGTCAAGCGCCCACATTGACCGCTGAGGACCCACGTTGACCTCTGAGGGCCCTCCACTGGCCTTTAAGGGCCCCTAAACCGGTCTCAGGGGCCCAATCGGCGGCTGAGGGCCTTACACAGGCTCTGGTGGCCTCATTTCTGTCTCAAGACTAGCCTTTAATTGTCTCTGAGGGCCCCGCACTGGATTCTGAAGACCCGATGTCGGCCACTAAGAGCCCGGATCGACCTCTGAGGGCCCCTCTTGGTCTTTGAGGTCCCTCCGCTGGTCTCTGGGGTCCAATGCCGGCCTATGCCGGTCTTTTAGGGCCACACACTGACCTCTAAGGGCCCCATGCTAGCCTATGAGGACCCACATTAGCCTCTGAGGCCCCCCGCACTGGATTCTGAAGACCCAATGCCAGCCTCCCAGGGCCCGCATCGGCCTCTGAGGGCCCATCTTGGCCTTTGAGGGCCCTCCGCTGGCCTCTGGGTTCCAACGCCGGCCCATGCCGGTCTTTTAGGGCCCCACACTGACCTCTGAGGGCCCCATGCTGGCCTGTAAGGACATACATTAGCCTCTATGGGCCCCGCACTGAATTCTGAAGACCTGATACCGGCCTCTAAGGGCCCGCATCGGCCTCTGAGGGCCCATCTTGGCCTTTGAGGGCCCTCTGCTGGCCTCTGGGGTCCAACGCCGGCCCATGCCAGTCTTTCCGGGCCCCATTCTGACCTCTGAGGGCCCCATGCTGGGCTGTAAGGGCGCACATTAGCCTCTGAGGGCCCCGCACTGGATTCTGAACACCCGATGCCGGCCTCTTAGGGCCCGCATCACCTTTGAGGGCCCATCTTTGGCCTTTGAGGCTGGCCTCTGGGGTCCAACGCCGACCCATGCCGGTCTTTAAGGGCCCCACGGCGGCCACGCTAACCTCTGAGGGCCCCATGCTGTCCTGTAAGGACCCACATTAGCATCTGAGTGCCCAAGTCGGTCTCTGATGGTCTCAAACTGCCCTTTGCAGGCCCTGTACTGGTCTCTGAGGGCCCTAAACTGGCCTCTATATGCCCCCAACTGGCCTATGAGGTCTCTACACCGGCCACTGATGGCCGTATTATATTCTATGGGGGCTCAAGACTTACCTTTAGGCGTCACGCATTTGCCTCTGAGGGCCCACATCAGCCTCTGGGGCCCCATCTGGGGCCTTTGAGGCCCTTCGCTGACCCTTGGGTCCAACGCCGGCCTCTGGGGGTCTGACACTGTACTCTAAGGGCCACATTGCAGCCTCTATGCGATAGGTATCGCCGAAGCGTTATCCATGGGCCTATTAGTGTAGGAGCCACGGGTGCAGTGGGTGAAGTTGCACCAACAATAATTATCCAGTGGGTGCAGACAATGTATTCTCTACCCACAATAATCTGGAATAAAACCCATTTTCTCATTAACACTACTTTCGATGCAGCACGACAAATTCAGGATATTTTGCCCACTACTATCCATCTTTCGATGCATTTGCTACTGTGATGGTCTTCAAAACTTACATGTGTGCTCAAGTGAAAAATAAGAAACGGAAGACATGTGATTGAACACGTACCGATGACCCACTGTCAAAAGTTTTAGCACGATATCTTCAAAATGGCTAAGTTAGCCGGTTTTACTTTTTGCGGTAGTCAATTCACAGTTGCGTGAATTATTGACATTACCAATGCTTCCAAATGAACTTACCTTTTCGACATAGTGCACTCTCAAAGCTGGCAATGAGCCTCCGCTCGGGTGCCGCTCTCTACCCCCCCCCCCCCCGCTTCACCGGTCATGGCTAGATTTCTGCACTCATGCACTACGCCCGTGGGCCCCTTTAAGCTAGCACCGGGCCCCCGGGTCAGTGCAGGGGCCCCTTTGCCAAGTTGGCCCCCCCCAAACGCCAAGTCTGCGACCGCCCCTGAGCAACGGAAAGGTGCGTTTTGGTGTACCGTTGTAGCGCTCATTACGTTGGCATTGCCGACTATCCGTCCATATCAACATATATTCGTCACAGCAAATACGGACTATATCGGCTCATGGGAAGCTTCTCTGTCATTGATCTCGTTCAGTATGGTGACATTTTTTTCTGTCGTTTCAGATCGGGGACAGGTGGCAGCCGTTTGACCTCAGCTGCTTCTGCGTCCCTAAGCACTACGAGAATGACCTGGAGCAAGTGCTCATTCCCCACGGCATCATCCAGGACAGGTGACATACTCGTAGACCGTGCGCATATATCTACCTACCTGCCGCATGGCGAGCTGTGCTGCTGCGCCTCTATAATGACGTAGCGTTTACAGAGCTGCACGTTAAGGAGGCAATTCAATGCAGTTTGATGCCGCTTCTGATTATTGGCAATGAGGCGACTTTCAACCAATTTGTTAACATTTTTGTGAGTTTTTTTCTCTGTGTAAACATATAAAACACTGGGTGTTTCGTGTCTTTGGGCTGGTGTTCGACTGAGACATCTTACGGCCTACATAGGTACACTTCGCACTCTACTCAGCATTTTCCCAAAGTGACACTTTTCTTTTGCAGGATCGAGCGGCTTGCGCGCGACATCTTCCAAGAGCTCGGCCAGGGGCCCCTGACGGCGCTATGTGTGCTGAAAGGTGGCTACAAGTTCTTCTCCGACCTCATGGACAAGATCAACCAGCTCAACTGCAACCAGGGACAAAAGTCGATCCCTGTCTCCATCGACTTCATCCGGCTCAAGAGCTATGAGGTAACACCTGGAACGGTTAACGTACTATGGACTGCATGCTAACCATGCACTGCAGTTATGGATTGATATGCTTGTGTTTACATTTGAAAGCAAAATCGCAACTGTGTCCCTATTGGCACGAATATCACGCTCAGCATGTGCCATCAAACACATGGACGCTGAGGCTGCCGTCACGGGGTCAGCGATAACTTGGGGCGCGGGCACGACCACGGGTCAGGGACTCGGGGGTACACTTTCCGACACTTCCAGCAGGACAAGGTCCGCCCTGGATCGGCTTACTACGAGCTGTATAGCTGCATGACTCATTGAACCTGCTGAGGCTGTCGAGTGTCGACGCTAGCGTCTGCATGTGTCGCGCTATTCAAAGAACCGGAGACGCGTTGATAAGAGTTGCACCAGTGCTGCATGACGCAATTCACCTTAACGTGTTAACACTTATTGTTGCGTCATACGCATGTTAGGAAACGATCGTGGTATCTTGGTATATTATGTCTTTTGCTCGCTGTACTAACTTCCAAGCATCTAAATCATGACGGGATGTGATTATGACGCGTATGATGCCCTTCGTGACCCCTGATGACCCCCGATGACCTTCGTGACTCGCATCGTATCTGCGAGACGCTGCTTTTTCGCTTCCAAGCTAACGTCGCAGTGATATCCTGGATGCTTGTGCTGTGGCAAATATTTCTGATGGGTAGGCACAGGTCTCGCGGGTTTTAGCGGTAGGTTTTGCACCTATAAAATTTTAGTGTACTTCAGGCTATATCTTCGTCGTCTTAAGCCTTTAAGTGTTGAAGATGCGATCCACTCGTTGGTTCACAAGCCGGCCATGATCGTTTAAAATTGCTTCATCGTAGATCGATTAGTTTCTGAGATATAACCGGAAATGTAAAAGTGCAAAACGTACCGCTTAATCTCGCGAGAGCCGTACTTAAGTTTCTTCCAGTTTCAGCTTATTGTGCTCTAAAAACTGGTGCAAACCTGCAGTTGTTTATAATGCCTGCTGTAGGACAGATGAAGTTCGTTACTTAATTTCATGCATGGAGTTATATTTGTTCGTTTGCCTTTTCAGAACGACCAATCAAGTGGTCTCATCAAGATAGTGGGAAGCGACAACTTGTCTTCGTTGAAAGGGCGAAACGTCCTTATCGTGGAGGACATTATTGACACCGGCAGGTAACGAGTTTTTTTACTGCTCAGATAGCCCATGGGCTGGAATGCTCACGGTGACTTGTGCTATTACGTCCAGGAATCAGTTGTTATGATACCATTGGCATAGAGCCCGTATACTCGTAGGATAGGAATTGAATGTTTTGCATTGGCTGATTGGAGTTTTCCCCAAAAGTTTCTTCGTTTTCCAAATAGCCATTGGGGTTCGCTTCATACTTATCGTCCTGCAAATAAAAACAAACTTTTAACACGACTTGCATAGTTCTCTTTATGCGGCGAAAGCGTTTCTCCGCCGGTTGATTCAGCGGGCCCCATTGTATCTCCGTTTAGTTAAATCCTGCTGACGTATCCGCACCCTTGTCTTCGCTGCAGGACAATGAAGAAGCTGCTGAACACGTTACAGCAGTACGAGCCCAAGTCTGTGCGCGTGGCCAGCCTACTAGTGAAACGCAGGGAGGACAACAATGGGGACGTCTGCTACATGCCCGAGTGTAAGTGGAGGGGACCTTAGTGAGCTAGTGAAATCGAACGTGACCTGCAGGCCCCTGGCCACCAGAGTGAGGTGGGGAACCTTTGGTAACTTATGTGTATATGGAGGGACCTTGGAGCTGGGAGGATTGCTGGGGTGACATTCGGGTGAAAACGGCGCGGATATGAAATGAGTGTGGCAGGCTGTGTTCCATTTGGCGTGGGTGACTACTGACTATAATAATGGGACGTTTTTCTTAGACTGAAAGCGCTGAATCTGCATGAAATTTTTAAGGAACCGTTTTTGAATTTTTGACCTAATATTCTATTTGTTTTTTGAAGTTATCATGTGAGCTCATTTTCCGAAACACTTGATTTCTAATCGCAGCCAATGCGTGTTAAATGCATGCAACGTTGCGTCCTTTATGCAGTCTCAGTCATAAACTGATTATTAATGACAGCTTTGAAGATTAGATAATGGTATAGGCATTCTTTGGTTGATAGTTGATACGAATAATTTTTCATTGAATCGAGTGACATGTTCCCATCTTCTTACAGATGCGGGTTTTATTGTGCCCGACAAGTTTTTGGTTGGCTATGCGCTGGACTTCAATGAATACTTCAGGGACCTGAACGTGAGTTGAAGTTTCAAACATGAAGGGCGCTATGCAGCAACGATTAATTTTCTTCGAAAGTACAATTTGAACACCTGGTTAAATGTGAAATTTCTAGTGAATGTATGTACTTGTTTGCTTTCATTAGTGTTAATAATGCCATTAATTGTTGTTATTACCATTGTTACTACCAACGCGAAATTTGTATATCCTTTGATCGCCACAGCAATTTGTATATTAGAACCAAATACGAATGCTAATGACGGGCGAATTTCTTAATTCAATTCAAATTATGACTTGTAGGTATTATGCAGTTCTGAGTTCCGTTATCGCGATCCTTGCGTCAAATGGACTAAATTTCTCGAGTTTGAAAATGAAGGCAAAATAAAAAAGCAAGTTAAAAGGCTCATGTGGAATCTTGATCACGATGGGTCTCAATCATTTTCACGTTTTTTTTTTTGGTCCAGCAACTTCTATAATCTGTTTTTCTCGATCATTTGGCTCTTTTTCGTTGCAAAACCACCAACCGGCCTTGATGTCCTTGCTAAACCGTTTTTTTTTTTTGCTTCCAGCATATTTGTGTCATCAGTCAAGCTGGGATGAAGAAGTACCGCAAGTAGCTGCCTTCATTACTTTACTACTCTATACCTGCCGAGTGTGTTCCAGTGGGAGACGACATGAGCAAGCTGAGGACTATTGTGATGTCCAAGTTCCTCTCCGGAGATATTCGGAAGCCTTACCGGGTAGTCCGAAGTCTGAGCGCAGAACCATGGCCTTTGTGACGATCGTGCGGTCTCTGTTGATGTGTATGATGTTCAGGGGCGATCAGAGGACGGGGCGACTTCACAAAACATCTTTTGCTGGCCTGCTTTCGCGACCCCTGCGCCGGGGCACCAAAGCGGTGTCCTATGGACATACAGCAGCGGCTGATGTGGGTGTGGTAAATGTGTTAGTGATTATATCGATTGCATTTTACCTCAGCATCAGAGCACCGTGGCGTTCGAAAACGCCGCGAACATTCCAAACATTACCCCAATCACGGTCGTAGTTCTGTTAAAGAACGCCATTTTAAACGCAGTGAAGACTCCCGTTGACCTTTTTAGTTTTTAGTAACAAGTACAGGCCACTACAATAAATGCGCATCATTTTGTTACTCTGTTTTTGTAACGCGGTTTGAAAGCGGGTAACTGCAAAACCTTGCTATGATATTGCAAGCGTACGCGCAGCCACGGAGTATTAGGCCAGGTGGGGGGGGGGGGGGGGGAGAGCTTTGACCCCTCAGACAATATTTTCCAGTTAACGATCGATGACTCGATGCAATGGGCAGGCAGCGTTCATCACTTATTTCCAGTTGATAACCAGAATCAGGTACATGACTTAACCCGCGCCCCACTGGGGTCTGTGTATAACACGCCCTACTGGGGGGGGGGGGGGGGCTATTCATAGCCCCCCCCTCCTAACTCCGAAACTACTGGGCCGATCGTCAAAATTCAAACGGCGTCTGATAGCCCCGGAAAAACTGTCGAGCGAAACCTAATTTCATTGACCTCGAGGTCACCGATGACGTCACAGGTCAGGTCAAAGTAAAAATTATTAGCACTTTGGCTTGTTCACATTTTGGGCTCTGGCCGCCGTCTTACAAGTCAGATCAAGCTCATTTTTGGTTTCCACACTCGTGAACAGATGTTCTAGATACCTTGAGGGTACCAAACTTGTACTTTGATTTTCAGGTCAGGGTCAGGTCATCACAGGTCACGAAAATATTATATCATGCGTCGGTCACGTGACACATGTTTTATGGTCCATTTAGGCCATAGATTTCGAATTTGATGTCGTGTGTGTCATTCAAGGTCATTTTGAGTCAAAATTAGCTTAGGTCAGGTCACTTTCAGGTCAAAAAAGGTCAAATTTTGAAGTTGAAATTTTTCAACAAAAAAGGTGTCTATTGGATGCAGTTTGAGCTCAGGAACACGATGGTGCCATTTATATTGGTGTACGATGCCAAATACGTACTGAAAAATTGATTTGAAAAATTAATAATTGTGAATTTTTTGCAATAATGCGTATAACTTGGCCATTTTTGAAGATATTTAGCTAAAACTTGCTAGAGTTAGTCATAATCATGCGTTCTGTCACATATATTCCGGTTTTTTCGAAAAGTCAAAAACTTTTTGAAAAAAATATAAAAATATAAATTTTGAATATTATTACATCAAATTTTCGAAATTTTCAAAATTTTGAAAATCCGAGATGGCAGTTTGATAGCGCGGTCAATTCTGAGTCCTTTCATGCAAAGAAATTGGATCTAGCTTAAAAACTGAGCTCTTGGGAGCGATTGCCGTGGTTCAATGTTTTGCGTCGAAATCGGACGAACATGACGTCACTCTGACGTCATTTCCGGCCGACCTATGGTAGCTACGAAGTTCAAATTTTGACACAAGGTGTCAAATTGATGCAGCCGAAGGTACTGACAGTTTGGCGTCGATTCGTCAAGCGGTTTGGAAGTTATTGCAGAAAAACGGGAGGGGGGCTATAAATAGCCCCCCCCCCCAGTGGGGCGCGGGTTAAGACAAAATTTTAATTGTCCTATTGCATATTGTCGAACGTAGTTATTAGGCACCGGCATGTCAACTTGTTGACCCATGTATTCACGGGCGTAGGAACGTCATGAAAAGTGAGTGGGCCACCCTGTCAAGGGGCCTCCTTTTCCAGGGGCCTCCTATTTTCAGGGGCCTCCAACTTTTGCCTCGTCCTGCTGGCTGCTTTCAAGTATGACCTCCAAATCTAGCTTATGAGATCGGGCAGATGTACCCAGGCCCCAGGGGCGTAACCGCTTAAGCGAACAGTGCAGAAAGTCCGCACCATTTTAAAAACTTATTCCCCTCCGATTTTTTTTTTTCAGAATCTATTTGCCGCAAACGGCGCATGACCCCTGAAAACCCTTACACTGAAAACCCTGGGAAACGTCTTCCACGTTTCCCAGGTGCCCCAATTAGCTTCATAGGCGCCCTCTTTAGCATATAAGCGCCTATGTATGGTCATCAGAGACATCCCTATATGTCCCACAGTCGCCCCGTTGTCGCATACAATATGCGCTTATCATAGGCGTCTCTCTTTTATGGACACTTGAAGGCGCCTGTCTTTGCCATGCCGGCGCCCCTGTTTCTTATGAATGCACCCCCAGGCCCCAAGGCATTGATTAATTGCAATTTGCAGACCTCTATTGCATGTGGACGCCCATATATGTAGGCCTCAGAGGCGCCCCTCTTTCGCTTTGAGGCGCCCCTATGGGCTTCATAGGCGCCCCTCTATTGCACATAGGTGCCCTACTGTCTCAGAACCGCTCCCCTTTGGCATGCAGACGCCCATCTTTCGTACGGAAGAGCCGCTGTGGTTCTTAGAGACGGCATGGTGCTCCCAGACGCAGATGGGGCTCTCGGGGTCGACAGTGTGGGACCTTCAGTCGCTGATGGGTGCCCGCCAGATGTGGACCCTCGGAGACGCCGGTATGGGGCCCTCAGAGATGCCGGTATGTGGCCCACATCTGGCGGGTTGTGGCACACATCTCCCACAAAGGCTGAAACAGACTCTTTCCGCGTTCAGGAAATCGCATGCGAGAGCCTATTCAAATACATTATAACTCTTCTCGCATCAATCGCATCCGGGAGGTGCGTGCGATTGATGCGAGCGTGCTTCCATGTATTTGAATAGGCTCTCGCATGCGATTTCCTGACTGCGGAAAGAGTCTGTTTCAGGCATTAGAGACACCGGTGTGGAACCCTCAGATACTTCAGTGTGAAGCCCTTACCATTGCTGGTGTGGAGCTATGAATGCGCTGGCTTAAATCCCTCAGAGGCCGGTACATGGACATCAGAGCTCAGTGAGAGCTTATGTGGTGCCTTCAGTGTGGAGCCGTTAGACATCAACATGGTGCTCTCAGGAGCCGGTGAGTCCTCAGAGTCACCGGTGTGGGGCCTTCAGAGCTCCGAGATACTGGTGTGGGGCCCTCAGAGGTGTCGGTGTGGGTCCTTCAGATGTACCTATAGAGCCTTGAGATTCACAGGTGTGGTGGCCCACAGACTCTGTGTGGAGGTACCGGTGTGGGGCCCCCAGAGCCACCGATATAGGGCCCTTAGAGACACTAGTATGACTCTCAAAGGCGCCGCTGTGTGGCGCTCATAAACACTGGTGTGAAGCCATCACAGGCGGGTGGAGCCGTTAGAGGCCGGAAAGGGCCCTTAGATACCTACAAGGAGCCTTCAGAAGCCGGCGTGGCACCCTTATGGGGATAAGCGTGTCTACTTAGGAGCCCTTGAGGTGCTCTCATGAGCTCTGTGGAGCCCTACCGAGCCGAAATATGGCCACGGCCAGTTGCCGCCGCATGGCTCTTCGGACTATCATTCTCAGGGGCCTCATCTGCCTAGCTTGAATAGACGGGCCTCTCAGACCATCAGTCTCATGGGCCTCCTCTGGCTGGTATAAATAGAAGGGCCTGTTAGACCATCAATCCTAGGGGCCTCCTCTGGTTAGTATAAATAGAAGAGCCTCTCAGACCATTAATCTCAGGGGACTCCTGTGGACAGTATAAATAAAAGGGCCTCTCAGACCATCAGTCTCAGGGGCCTCCCTAGAAAAGTGTAAATGTGGAAAGAGGGCCCCCTCAGATTCATTAGGAGTGGACCTCTCTGACTATCAGTCTCAGGGGCCTCTTGTGGCCAGTATGAATATAAGAGCCTCTCAGACCATCGGTCTCAGGGGCCTCTTCTGACTGGTGTGGATAGAGGGCCCTCCCAGACCACCGGTTTCAGGGGCCTCCAATGGCCAGTTATATGAACAGAAGGGCCTCACAGCCATCAGCCTCGGGGGCCTCTTCTGACTGGTGTGAATATGAGGGCCTCTCATACCATCAGTCTCAGGGGCCTCCTCTGTCTAGTGTGAATATAAGGGCTTCCCAGGCCATCAGTCTCAGGGGACTCTTCTGACTGGTGCCGGATTGAGGGACCTCCCAGAACGAAATTTTGGGGGTCTCCTGTGGCTAGTATGAACAGAAGGGCCTCTCAGTCCATCAGTCTCATGGGCCTCTTCTGCCTGGTGTGATTATAAGGGCCTCTCAGGTCATCAGTCTCAGGGGCCTCCTCTGGCTACAGTGTAGATGGATAGGCCTCACAGACCATCAGTCTCAGGGGCCTCTTCTGACTAATGAGGATAGAGGGGCCTCCTCTGACTCGTGAGGGTAGGGGGCCTCGGCTAGACCGCCAGTGTCAGGGGCCTATTCTGACTAGTGTGGATGGAGGGGCCTCCCAGACCACCAGTCTCAGACCTCTGACTAGTGTGGATAGAGGGGCCTCCCAGACAGCCAGTGTCAGGGACCTCCCCAGACCAGTGTGGATATTGGGGCCTCCTCAGATCCACTAGGGCCTCTCAGGCCATCAGTCTCAGGGGCTTCGACTGACAAGTATGAACAGAGGGCCTCCTTGGATCCATCACGGCCCCTTGGAGTCCGTGCGTGGGGATTCGTGGAACTTATTTTTACCGAGTTTGTTTATTCTGGAAGGTGACGACGTCCTCTCAAATCGAGACGAGGGGCCTCGAGTAAAAAGTGGGTGGGCCAAAACACATGGTTGGCCCCCCCACCTCGAAAAGTGGGTGGGCACTTGCCCACCTGGCCCCCCCTGTTCCTACGCCTATGCATGTATTGCATGGTGTCTTTCCCATTCTCTCTTTAGGTAAGTTTGTCAAGAAGAAGCAGCAACTGTAAATTTGATCTTTGATGTTCGTTTGTGACCCTTGGCGTGACACAATTGTTTTTGTTACGGTACTTCACAATTTTGGCACCTGCAACGTAAATGTAAAATCTCACTCTACCCCTTGGTAATCAGCGGGTGGTCTTTTGTTGTGATCTTTCCTTTCCTGTTATTCCCGACTCTACAGCAATCAATTCGAACGTTATCGGTTGGGGGCGTTAAACGACCCCTATACTATACGTAACTCGGCAGTCTGGTATCAATCTCTTTAGTGCCCTGGTAGGGTGACCGGTTTTGCAAGAAGTTTCGAAAAGTTCTGCTCCCCAGGTCTAACCCATTAACGCCCAGCGGTACCAAAAGGTACCAACGCACATTTTGGTTTGCTGCGTTGAGACCACACGTTCTTTCG